AGGATCTTTATAGTTACCGACAGTTTTAAAATGTCATAACTTTTTGCACAGAGGGAGCCAAACTGTGCTATGTGTGAACCCTGCTTAGATGGGTTACATTCAATACCCGTTTTAAATTTCCTATTCATTGATCTATTCAAACAGTAGCCAAAGTAGATACAAATATCGCTGGATAAATATATGTGTGTGTGTGTGTGTGTTTACATTAGATGCAGTAAGAGAATTAAATCTAGAGTATAAACAGACACTAACATCCTCTCTTAAAAAAGTTTTGACATAGGCCCTTCTTTGAATTTTATATCTAGAGATATTTTCTACCCACAAAGGAAGTCTTGACAAATTTCGTCAAGACGAATCGGTGAAATAAGAATTTTTATTTTAACTTGTTTCAGAATTCATATTTAGGGATGTTTCAGCAGTACCCAACGTGAATGCAAATGTGTACTAATGTTTTTCTTGGTTATGAATTACATATTTATAAACAAAATTAGGTATATATCATTTGCATTTACATCTCTGTTGATAGCGTTAGATTTAAGATTGCTAGACAAAGAATTTACTATCGATATGACTTACGAATAATAATTTGATAGCTCACTGACCAAATGTTATCAGCGGATACCTCAGATTGTCCCCATTTCCTCATAAGGACCCCATTTTCCACAAAATAACAGATACTAATGTGGCTTACGTTTCGTTAATAGTCCGCTAAAACAAACAAGGGATATATGGGTCTTGTTCCTGTTCAACAGAGATTGGTTGTCTTTTGTCACCCTAATTAGAATGTTCAACAGAGATTGGTTCTCTTTTGTCACCCTAATTAGAATGAAGAGAATGAGTAGTAACGAGGATCACTGTGATCATTATCTCTTGATTGATCCATGCCAGGACCAAACGTGACCTCATCAAAAGACCGATAAATGTGTCAGCTAAAAGACACATTTTCTGATCAACATCATTCTCAAAGCTCTTTTTTTGCCAAAGCGCTAGTAACAACACAAGCAAGGGATGAATCAGTGATTTCATTTTCAGCAGGATTGACTCTCTGATCCAAACAAGGCTTATCCACTTTAGATACAATTGTGAAAGCTTGTTTAACTAAAAAGTTCTCAAATATGAGAAATTACGAAACCTGGTAATAGGAAAATTTTGAAACAGGGTGAATTTAAATTTCAAAAATAAATTTAAGGTTTCGGAAATATTATAAAGAAGCCTTTATCCTGGATGACCCCAATATTCTGTTACAGCTCTTACAGTTTTGTAAAATTCAACAAATTAAATATACCTTAAAGTACAAAATGAGAATTGTAAAAGAACTTAAAAGACATTATATCCAGAGAGTCCTAGAAGTTCACTAGTTCAAAAGTATAGAGTATTCTGACATCATTGCAGTGGTGTTCCAAGTGAATTCCAAGTGGTGTTCCAAGTAAAGTGCCTATATACTGATAACCTTGAATAGTGTGTACTTGATAACAGTAATAATGTGATCCAAAATGTCTATAAATGAATTCACAATAATTCCAAAATAGTGATTTAGTCCAAAGTCAAAGAGCGCTTGAAAATTCCATTGAATAATTTAAATGAATAAATCCTCTCAAATTAAGAACTGAACATATTTAAAAACCTCATTCCATATCGGATGTTATGGTAGGAATGAGTGATTCTAATACAAATAGATGTGACCCTAATGCAAAGCTAAGGCACATTGAGAGGACCAAGATGAGGGTCTTCTTATTGGAATTTTATATGAAAATGTAAACAAAAGTAATTTCTGAAATCTTCTAGGGTCAGAATCAAGGCTGCATCTAGACCTTAAAACCAAGTAAATGTGCATAACGTACGTGACATTAGGCCAAATCTTCTACCCCCGGTCATGGATAAGTCAATCAAAGACAAAAAAAATACAAATTCTTATATATATATATATATATATATATATATATATATATATATATATATATATATATATATATATATATATATATATATATATATATATATATATAAATATATATATATATATATATATATATATATATATATATATATATATATATATATATATATATATATATATATATTATAATATTTTTAAATAAATATAAATAACAAAATCAGAAAATGAAGGCTCCAATCCTATTAAGACCAAATTTAATAATATATTCAGCATGTTTTCATTTTTTAATGAAACAATTCTTTAAAAATCATTATTTTGACAATATGCTTATAGTTGTCATAAATGATTTTTTAATATTACAAAATATAACTATATTTATTTTATGATCATTTAATCATGTTTGGCAAATGGTCACCAAATGGTTTGTTGTGAATATATTTGGGCTAAATCCAAATTTATGATAAAATTCATATTAAATCAGCAATCTTAAACATGTCATTTTTAGTTATTTACATGCCTAAGTTTCAAGTTCTTTTCCTAATATTTTGATAAAACGTTTTCTTTTTGAATTTTCCATTTTGACGTTTCATGAGTAAGTGTGTTCATATTTGCTGATCATCTCTGATAAATATCTTACCAAGGTATTTTCATCCCATTCACTGTCAGAACTTCCTACTTTTTATCAACATGCTCTATAATTCAAGCACTAGAGCTGTCTAGATTGACATTGAAGCAAATCTTGTGGAGGCTCTGAGGAATGGAAAGGGCAGCACTGACCAATTTAACAGATCCAGGACAATAGTAATTGTGAGATTAAAACAATCTTTATTTTGCTTAGCTAAAAACAACCTAGCATCTGCTGGTGGCAATGAAAGGTAATAGTTTTTGCCCTTTTAATGAAAGTACCAACCAGGTTACACACAGCAACAACAGGGAAGTTACTACTGATGACATGATATGGGCATCATTTTCATTGATTTACATAAATATAAGTTCTCAAATTCACACACTAAGAAACAATATATAGTTTTCCAGAGGTTTTAGGGTTTGTTGCAACATCTTTCGTATTCAAATAAAGTAGGTATGACTCATTACCTTGCTGGCAGCCATGTTGGAGGTATCATTGTCAACAAGGTTAAGAATTTACTGAAAGTACCCTGTATTTGTATATTTATTAATCCTATAGCATGGAAGGAAGGGATTCCTATTGTCCTGAATCTGTTAAATTGGTCAGTGCTGCCCTTTCCATTCCTCAGACCCTCTAGCAAGATTTGCTTTAATGTCAATCTAGACATCTCTATTGTTCCATACATCACACCTACAAAGTAAACTCTGTACACAGCTCTAGTGTTCCATACATCACACCTGCAAAGTCACTCTGTACACAGCTCTAGTGCCCCATACATCAAACCTGCAAAGTCACTCTGTGCACAGCTCTAGTGTCCCATCCCATACATCACAACCACAATGTCTGTACACAGCTCTTTTTTCCAAAACACCCAAAAAGTCATTGTGGTTTTTATTTGTCCTTTTAGGATTGCTACATAGGTATGAAATTTAGTAACATTTACAGGAATCTGTTGTAATTTGGGTAAGTGTCATGTAAAGGTCATAAACTAGGGTATGGTTACAGTTTTGAGTCAATCTTTGATTTAATCATGAAATTTGTCATATGGAAGCATTTGGACTAGTATCACTCTACAAAATTAAAAGTATTTTACCATGACATATTTTCATCCAATGGGTGTTTTCCTTGATACCTCAGCAACTGTTGGTCATAGATTTGTTAAATGTGCCAGTTATGATTTTTATTATTTGATTGTTACATATCAGTTCTATTAATTTTACAAGAAATCAGATATTTAGGGAGTATGTCTGATATAGCAAAGATCACATCATGGATGTTGTTGATTCTGGGACAAGATTGTATTCAATACTGTATCATTGTAGAACAATTCTATTCAATACTATATCATTCTGGCTGCTAAAATGTTTGGTGACTATTCAATTTATTACAGATCAATAATCTCTTGTTACACCTCCACGCGGTACCAGGTGAAAATTAAATGGCTAACATTAAATAACAATGTTTTGTATTTGATTAATCTAGGTAAAACTGTATCTGGAATAGTCTTTGTATGTTAGTTGGCATTACACAGTAAGGGAGGCCACTCGTCAAATCCAATAGATGTTGCTTGGACAAAGCATCAAGATATCTGTTGGATCCGCTAAGGTCTATATAGGACTATCATATAGGGACCTGAAATTTATTAACATTACTGATACTTTTGTGTTACGTATGATATTTAAATAGCGTAATTTGTATATTGCATGAATCAAGGGTACGTTAGGTATAGATTTGGGTGAATTTAGTATAGGTTTTATATGGATTTGGGTAAATTTTGGAGTAGACTTAAGATAGACTTTCAGATACAAATATTTATTTTATAATTTTATCGCGAAATTTCCATAATTTCCAATTCCAAAAGATTTGGAGAGCAAAAGTCTGTGATGTAGTATTTGTCATTGTTTTTGTCAGTCAGACCATCACCACTGACCTTATGAACCCAAAGCCATTAGACAATTTCCTCGCTACAAGTGTAAGCCAACCTAAAAAATCCAGGTCTGTGACGCAGAAATATACTGTTATGGAACATGAAGTGATATTGACATTTTGCTCCCAACTGCGGTTTTTTCTTTCTTCGAGATGAACTTGCCTGTAAGGATTGGTGAAGGATTGGTGAAGGTTTGGTGAAGGTGGTTACCTTATGTAAGAAACAATCCTGTGTTAAAGGAAAGTTAATAAAAACATGTACAGAAAGAAATGAAAATGGACGTATAGTCAGTGTATGTGTGTGATTTGGATTTTTAATGTAGATTTATCGTTTTTAATGTATCTACATTTTTAATGTTTTGTTCTTGTTGTTGCTATGTATGCAATTTGGCAGTCTATTGTGATCTCAAGCACTGAGGCATCATACCACATACATGCAGCATGATGTCCCAGCTATTCTGACACCAGGCCGACAAGTCCTAACACTAACCTCATAATGCTGAGCACCTAGCGAAACAGCTGTTAGTACCATTTTTAAAGTCTAAAGTATGATTCTACCGGGATTCGAACCCGCGACCTCTGCATCCGAAGCGGACACTCTAACCACTAGACTTTGCTTAATCTCTGCACGTAAATAATTTGTCAAGTATGGTCAAAAGGTGGTTACAAACGAGAAAGACGGGTTTAATCATATTCTTTTAATTTCAAAGTTTATACATAAAAGATGGATAACTTTTCATTGAACAACTTGCTGTTTCTTCACTATTCACAATTCCTAAATTTGATAATATGAAACTCCCTCATATAGTTTAAAAATCATTGCATTGCATAACACAAGATTTACAACGATGTCGAATATGAACCAAATACTCAACAAATACCAAAAAACACACTTCCTGCTTTTCTAAATAACTGAATGCTTTGCCATTTCTGCTGTTGTTAATAGCAACTCTGGTGCGAAAACAAATTTCTGGCTCCTCCATCATAACATTTTACTGACTCCAAATCTAGCTCAAGAATAATTTTATCAATCAAAAAGCTTGCATATTTCCAAGTGTGCAGTAATCCTTATTGCTCGTCAAAATTTTATGATGGAAGGGCCTGATATCTATTCCAATGACAAATAAATGCAAGGTGCTCTGACATTTCGTTTTCTTGCAGCATACACGTTTGAATGCTGATATAAAATGTGTGCATACTTTTTAGCGTATCTGTAGGCTCGATTTTATTTCCCATTGAGGTCATTTTCAAGGAAATAAATCTTCTGTGTACATGCAAGGCCGTTGTATTTTTTTATGACTTTAAAGTAATGTCTGCATTAAAAGAAAGCTACAAGAGGACTGAATTATGAAGTGGTAACACACTCATTTTGTTTATCTTCAGTCCGCTTCTTTTTTATTCCATGGTGTCCGCAACTGCAATTATAAATGGCCATCTCTGTGAAATGAATTGTTTACTCTCAGTTCCCAGATTTCGTTCAACTTAATAAACAAAAGATAGAGAGTGATCAATTATCACCATTATTGCGTGTTTGTTTGCTGATAGTAAAAGGTGAAAATCAAAATTAACCTGGACATTCTTTTCTATATATCTCTTTGTCATTCATAATTTGAAATCTATACTAATTGCCATAAGATAGTCAGGAAATGGGAAACTAATAACGGTTATGGATGGATGGATGGATGGATGGATGGATGGATGGATGGGAGTGAACGGCACACCAGCATTATCAAGGATATTCAGTGCCGATCAAAAGTTACAGGCCTAATACCCAAACAATGCGACAGATATATCATCTCCACTTGTTGCTTAGATGAATTAAATTCATGACGAGATAGTCAGGGAAGAAAGCAGCGTCCAGATAGATGCCTATCTTTCCAATGAAAGGATCATTTACATAATACGAGTCTGATAATGCAACCCTGTTTAAAATACATACATACACACATGCATACATAGGGGCCCCGAGTGGCCGAGTGGTCTAAAGCGCTGTCCGTTACGGATCACTGCCATCTCACCTCTGTCTGCGTGTGTTCGAGTCTAGGATTCGGCGAATGTGGATATGTGAGAAAGCTTGCCAGTAGCTTCTCGTGGGTCGGTGGTTCTTTCCGGTGATTTCCCGGTTTCTTCCTCCACCATTAATACTGGCTGCCATGAATAGCCTATCGTGTGCTGAAAAATGGCGTTAAGCCCAACAACAACAAGAACAACAACATACATACATACATACATACATACATACATACATACATACATACATACATACATACCTTTGTACGAGCAGCAGGGATGGTGAACCCTACAAAATTTTTGCTTGTGAAATTAACCTGAAATAAGGGTTCCTACAGAGGCTGAAAAAAAGGACAATGACCCTAAACCAAAATATCTAACTTTTATATTACCGTACGGACGGTTATAAACCGCATAATGAACCACATGAGGTTAGCTCAGTTTTGTTATACTATTATTGACTTTTTTTTACCCTGATTTTATTGAACTATTTTTTACGTTTGAGAAAGAGAACACCAATGCAATGCCCTCTATGTTATCGGAGTGGTGTTAACATAGAATAACCCAACGACCCTCTTCAGGGCCACATCATTGCCGCGAAAAGATATTTATTCCAAAATGATTGACATATTTGTGTGTCTTTGTCTATTTCTATGTCTATGTCTCTATTTCTCACCCTTGCAATAGAGGAATTTAGATGTTTTTCTAACCTTACTTTTCTTATATCAGTCTGGTTGTCTCAGATACATAGTCTCAATCAAGGTTCCATGCACTTGGAACTACTTTTTTAGAAATGAAAACTTTGTTAATCACAGCGACACATTAATCACAGTTACAGATAATCACAATATATGTGACTTTTTATAATATCCTTTTTTTTAAAAATCATTGGAATTCAATAATTATATCGAATCCAAGCAGAACTTGCCTCCTGTTTAATTGATAAGATAACAATGGTTGTCTGGGATATTGTGAATTGAGAAGACAATAACGCAGAGTTGTTTTTAATTGCGTTCCATTCCAAGCAGTTGAAGCCGACACAAAATTTTGCAAAAAATAATTAAGAATTAATGACGTGGAACGAATGTGTAATACTAATACGTATTTGGGGTATAATAATGGAGTTGTTTCTAATTCAAGCAGAACTAGCCTCCTGTTTAAAAATGAACTCGAGAAATCAACACTTGTATTTGTACCAATAAATATAAATAAAATGTTTTAAAATATGTTTAAAATACAATATAATGCTGTGAGTATCTGTCGCTGTGATTATCTGTCACTGTGATTAAGTGTCGCATGATTAAGTGTCGCTGTGATTAACTGTCGTTGTTTAAATGTCGCATGATTAACTGTCATGTAACCATAAATACACACTTGTCATTAATTCGCTAGAGCAAATATTATCCTACCCAGAGATTCAAATCATAAATCCTAACAAATGACACATTTGTATATTAGGGTGAATTCATAAAATGCCTCTGAAAATCCCTATTTAATTACACGCAATCTGTCAAATCTCTTAATGAATTAGTAATTGAAATATCAAAGAAACAAATGACATAAACTAACATGTCAAGAGTCCTACGAAATAAATAAACGATACATGCGTGAATCATAAGCATATCAACACATTTTCAAACAAAACAAACAAACGAAGTAGAATATTAATTTGGAAAGTAAAATTGCGTACCTTAATACCGTTTCTTTCAAAAAGAGTCCTATCCAATATCTGTTCTTCTTCTTAAGACAGCTGTCTGGGCCCTTTTTAGTAGTTCACGTATAACAAAGAACACTGCTTCCTAGTTTCTCCCGAGTCAATCTAACTTCCTCCAAGCAAGATTCTACACTAAGGAGTTTTGGGCAAGTGGTACCCTAAATAGCCAGTTTCTCTAAGTGTACGTCCTTAATTTCCCTGACCAATCGGAATAACTGTTCACAATATTCCCTCCAAATAACGTGCCTGTCATCGATTTTACCAGCCTAAAACATGTTACAATTAGCTTTCTTTGAAAAATGAATTTATGACTTGCGCCTTTCTACTTTGATTATATTAACTTGAAAGCATAGAACTTCTCCAGACCTTTCTGCTTTGATTATGTTAAATTGAAGGCACAATTTATTTAGTTAACCTTAAGTTTCAAGACGTTTCAAAATTCGACACATCACATACCCTAGGTCATAACTTTAAAAATACTGACATCCCCACTCCATAGCCACATATAACTTATTGGGCATGAGTGTTCCCACCCCAACCGTAACATAACCCATTGGTAATAGCTTCAAAATTATCGAGGTCCTCACACTATAACCATATGGATTGCGTGCATGAAAAGACAAATGCATGTGACCGACGGACAGTTTCTGATGGGAAACATCTTACCCTCAGGAATCGACGCTAGAGGATTAAACTTCTGGGTGAAGGTCAAAACGGGTAAGGGCGGGAATACCTGTGTTTTACAAAAACAGAATAACTGCCTTAGAATATATTACGGCATTTAAAAAAAAAGATGTGTGCAACGGCCGATAATTAAAATATAAATTTAATCCTCGAGCCTATTTCGCTGTGAAGTTGTTGTTTATCGGTTGTTATAATAGCTAGTTTTTGTAAGCATTGTTAGCGTAGTATAATATATATTATTATTAATAACGACTTTCATCATCACGAAATTTTACCGAATAGATTTATTGTAGCTGGGACCGGTTCTAAGCATTTACCCCCAAATCACGTCTAATTTATTCTAAAGATCTTTGGGCTAAGACCTAAAATTCCCTGCAATTTATATGTAAAATTTAGATACATACAAACTCATTTTGTTCTTATTGTCGTTTTCGCATGGTAAGGACAAAAGGCTTTAGTGCATATTGATTTAATTGGATTTAACGGCATTTAAACAAATTATTGGCTGTATCATGTCAAGGACATGAGTGGTAAGTGCCTTTTATAAGGACACGCTGAAGTAGCCGATGTAGACTGGCCTTGTAGAGTATCAAACCCGCCAGTCATGAATTACGTATCTAGCACTCGACCAACTAAGCAACCAACACAGTCTCAATTCTATCAACTCGCACAATATCCATTCAAGAAGTCACGTACTCGTGTATGTGTGTGTGTGTGTGTGTGTGTGACTGTGTGACGAACATTAACTTCTGATTTGTATTGAATGTATCACAGTTAATTGCCTACCTTCTATGTTGTGGTCTACATTTTCATAATATAAAGATCCACATTTATCCGATGATAAGTCCCTGCTGGAAGATTAATTCATTGCCACCCATGCATTTAATTAAAACTTTTTGACAAGAATTGAGTAATATCTTATAATTCCACCCTTTTCCTCACAAAAAAGAATTTATTCCAGTCGTCTTGCCTTATCAAAGCAGAACACTAATAGTGATTTGTATGCAGGCCCTTTGACTTTATAAAAAAGAAATACAGTATGTTCTTTTTATGCTGATCATACGGCCTCATTAACGTAGAAATTCTGTATGTTATATGTATGCAGGTCATCTGAATGCGTCAAGGTAGAACTACTCTATGTGATTTTGTTTGCAGGTCCCAATGCCTTTCTAAACCTGAAAAACTGTATGTGATTTTTTACAGTTACTT